CTTATGACGCTTCACAGCACACCATGCATATTTTGCATTTTCAATGTTAATCCTTAAACTCATTGTTAAAAAGTAATCACCGTGGGGGTTATTGTAATTATTGGTTTTGTTTTGCATCCACGTTTTGTCGTTATCGGAAAATGTCTGACTTATAAGTTGTCACTATTTTTTACTTGCATTATTTCAATATAGTTTGTAAATCTCAGAAGCGAAGGGTAGAACTTGCCAATAGGCAATACTCCAATAATATACGTTTCAAAAAAGAGAAAAAGCTTTTAGTTTCGCAGAGTTACATTCTCAAATGTTTATACTAATAAAATCAAAGTATCATCGGAAATTATTTGAATAAACCGCACCACATATATATATAATGCAATTTTCTTTGCGGAAGTCATGAATCAAGATTACAACAGTCAATACGCTTCCCAACACATTCCGTAGATTTTTTATTAATCCTATAGTTTATTGTTAGCAAGTGATTACTGTGGCGGCTATTGTTAACACTGCTATTTATAAAATTTGCAAGCGATTGCTTTTATATGTTATGTGAATGTAAACTTCCAGACAAATACGACAACATGATTTTATGCGGTCGGATGTGTAGAATCTGAGTCTATGACACTAGTCTAAGTACCTCAAATGAGTGGTTATGCTAACTGTGCACATCACCAGCTGCTAAGAAGCCTAAAATGTGTATGTAATTTTGTCTCCTTGTAATAAATAAATAAATCACGCAATAAATCTTTTCAAGTTGCAATCGTTTTGTTTTTAGATAAAAAATTTATATGGGGGGGGGGGAAATTCCTAAAGGGGGGCGATATTCATAGGAATATCGCCCCCCTTTTGAGAGGGGGGCGAATCTCCTGTGACACCGGCATGATTAAAAGTACTAACCAGAACACTAACATTGAAAAGGGGCAGTGGTGATATTACTAATATGTACATATGTGATAAAATACCCTGAAGAATATTGCCTACAAATACCCACCAATTTATTTATTATTTTCCATCCTTAACCTTTTGACTGTTAGGTAAAAGCAAGGTCAGATGATATGGAACATATAACCCAGAGAGACAATGGTGCTCAGGGTCTAGCTTTGCTGAATTTACTCAACTATTGCTCACTCACAACTAACAACTACAGAAGAAATTGGGAATTATAAAAGAACAGTCTAACAGACATTATGTATAATGATGTCACAAGGCTTAATGTCCGCAAGGAATGCTGGTATTGTAGTCATGGCCCAGGAAAATGTCGATAGTGGATAAATTGTTTAATTTTTCCGGGCGATGAGTACTAAGACCAGCATTCCTCACAGGCATCAAGCCTTGTGACATCATTATGCACAAGATCTATTGCAAAAGAATAACTGGACGTCTTGCAGTACAATGTCTCTGATAGTAATTACCACACAATAAATTAACCACTGAGAAACATCAACTTTATTTAGTCTATATTACAGTATAACCAAGTAAAATATTCCCATGCAAACACTTTATTTTATCTATATTAAAAAATACATGATAATTTATTGTACAAATACATGTTGAATATAAAATTAATTGTGTATTAATAGTTATTGCAATAAATAAACCTTTAGTTGTATGAGGACAGCCTCACCTAGTTCACTTGCCCAATGACCATGTTGAGTGAACTGTTCATAGGTTGCTTTCTGAAATACCCTTCCTAGTCATCAGGTAATACAGATATTATTTAGGGCAATATCCAAACGGGCCGGCCTTTTCAAATTCTGGACGTCAGCACTTTTGGCACTCTGACATCTCATCACCTGGTCCTTGCATGATATTTTCTGGTAACCAAATCATTCCACCTTGCTTTTGCCATGGAAGTGTAAACAATAACAAAATAAATTAGTATTACTATATGTGGATGAGCCTCAGCCTGCCTACTGAGTAGGTTAAACACTTTGCCTAGATAGTCAGTAATAATATCAAGGCTAAACAATCAATAAACAATAATATATTAAAGGTGCATGAAACATGTCATTGTAAAGCAAGCTAGCTTGGATATCCCACACTGGCTTGCTTCCCTGTTACACTCCCTATTAACAACATAACTTGTGGAATGGAATGGCCAATATGTAATTATTAATACAATCATAATTATGAAAATTTCCTAATATTAGATTGTATACTTCTGGTTGGTCTTCTTATAAAATTCAAAGAATATTCATACATGTTTGATTCGTTTAACATTTATCATTTTGTGCCTGTCTTTGCTGTTTATATATATATACATAGATGTATTCTATATTGATAAGAAGAGCACTGCCTGATTGCAGTGAAGTTTATAGTTCGACTACAATTTGTCTGAGGCTCTAAGTCATTCGCTGGTGTTGCTACGAATGCACGAAATCGCTACTGACGCTACACCTATGCTATATATTTCCAAATTGATTTAGAAGCTTTATAGATTCAATTATTTTACCTCTTACGATATTTCAACCACAGTAAATGGGGGTCATACTAATTACCGACAAAAAGCAGACACATAAAGTGTGTATGTGTATACTGTATAATGTGTCTAAAATGTTTGATAGTAACGAACAGAAACAAGCTATAAATTATTTTCATCAATTCATGTATAACTATAAGAATACAATGAAAGTATGTATTTGCTTGTTGTCGGTATTTTTCAGCTTGTTGTCGGTAATTGTCTGCTTGTTGTCGGTAATTGTGTGCTTGTTGTCGGGGTAGGTATTTTTCGAGTTAAGCCCTTTTCGAGTTAAGCCTCTGCCACGCCCCTGCCACGCCCTTTTCCGCCGGGGGCTTTACTCGATGAACACAAGGTTGTTTTAGTACTTCGAGTTAAGCCCCGGGGCTTAACTCGAACTCGATTAACGATTCGAGCATTCGAGTTAAGCCCCGACATTTGGCGGATGTAAACAAGTAACACGTGTATTCTCACAAAAATATTCGCAAATAAGGAGGGAGAATGTAAAATTTCAGCAATTTTTTTAGGAAATATCAAATATCTCTTTTGCTTTGCCTACAGATTTATACATCAATGACAATGACATCGTGAAATAAGAAAACTCAATGTGTTTTGTTATAAACAATAGCTCATTCAGGGCGGCAATTACGGCTTTAAATAATAAATAATATAAAGTGGCACTTGCAGAAAGCAAATCTTGGGCATGTTAATGTTCGCGAGCTACCTTTCTAACCGACTTAACTCGGCAACAACTAGATCTAGAATATTATGTAAACTCGTTTTATTGTTTTCCGGCGACTGTTTACACAACACAACTGAGTAACTCAACTTGCCAAAACATAACAGATACAAATATTTCCACTAATTACCGACGGCAACTATAATAACATTGGACCAATCCCCAATTAACCAAAATTTTGAACTCAACAAGTCTAGACAAACATTTCATCACAGCTTGAAAGAGCATCACTAAATTAGTAATATTCCAAAGTTTCGTTGCAAAATGTTGTAAAATGCGGATAATATAGCCTTGCGAAATTTGTAGTTTTCAGTCATTTTGTATTACGTACAGAAGTGGTAACCATTTCCCGTTTGTAATCTAAAATGACTGAAAATTGCAAATTCGCAAGGATATATTATCCCCATTTTTCAACATTTTGCAACGAAACTTTGGAATATTACTAATTTTGTGATGCTCTTTCAAACTGTGATGAAATTTTTGTCTAGACTTGTTGAGTTCAAAATTTTGGTTAATTGGGGATTGGTCCAATGTTATTTATAGTTGCCGTCAGTAATTAGTCGAAATATTTGTATCTGTTATGTTTTGGCAAGTTGAGTTACTCGGTTGTGTTGTGTAAATAGTCGCCGGAAAACAATAAAACGAGTTTCCATAATATTCTAGATCTAGTTGTTGCCGAGTTAAGTCGGTTAGAAAGGTAGCTCGCGAACATTAACATGCCCAAGATTTGCTTTCTGCAAGTGCCACTTTATATTATTTATTATTTAAAGCCGTAATTGCCGCCCTGAATGAGCTATTGTTTATAACAAAACACATTGAGTTTTCTTATTTCACGATGTCATTGTCATTGATGTATAAATCTGTAGGCAAAGCAAAAGAGATAGTTGATATTTCCTAAAAAAATTGCTGAAATTTTACATTCTCCCTCCTTATTTGCGAATATTTTTGTGAGAATACACGTGTTACTTGTTTACATCCGCCAAATGTCGGGGCTTAACTCGAATGCTTGAATCGTTAATCGAGTTCGAGTTAAGCCCCGGGGCGTAACTCGAAGTACTAAAACAACCTTGTGTTCATCGAGTTAAGCCCCCGGCGAAAAAGGGCGTGGCAGGGGCTTAACTCGAAAAGGGCTTAACTCGAAGGGCTTAACTCGAAAAATACCTATCCCCTTGTTGTCGGTAATTGTCTGCTTGTTGTCGGTAATTAGTACGACCGGTAAATGGACAGCGAAATTGATATCGCTTCGTGAACTTTATCAAGCCTCCATTTTCGTCCCGATTTATCATGATTTTTGCCTCAAATATATTCAGGAATCGGTATAAGCTTTTGTGCTGCCTATTCCAGTATTTTGTGAGTTTCATCAGCCGTGTATTTACATCTATGTGCCGAAATTTTTGCCTCTATTGCAACGCGCTCACTCCCAAATGGCCGCCATCTTGAATCATAAACTTGAAAACGTCAGGCCGACGTTTTCAAGTTTGTTATGCGCAGAAGAGATGCGCAGACGGTGGCACTGCTCCTTTAAGTATTTCCAGAATAAAAGTGAGCGCGCGCGCAGTGTGATGGGAAGATTGAAATGAAGTTGGGGAGGCTCTGCCAGTTAATGCGACAAAGTATGGTTTTTGAACCAAACTAGCTGTTTGACCTGTTTTTAAACTTGAAATCGACGGAAATGTGAAAGAAATTGAAATGAACTTCATAATCTGAGTATCGAAGTTCAAGAGAGTCATTTTTATGAAGAAATGTTACACCTAAGAGGATATTTATAATTACAGTAGATAGCTCGTATCCATTGATATTCGTTTGCAATTTCTCAATATTTTTCGATGCAAATGGACAGAGGAAGAGATTGATATTTAATTCACCCCAGGATACTCAAGTACGCCTGAAAATGAAAGTCGAAAACATGTTTTAACACCCCCGATGGTTGATCGAACTTCGCTACAAACGATTATTCGACGCCATATTGATTGCATTAACTCGCAGAGGCTTCCTTTATTTAGCTCTTCCCATCACTCCTTGTGCGCTCACTTTTCCCTCACTAGAAACTTTATGTAAGCCTCTGCGGAGGAGAGAGGCAGGGGCGGATCACTGATCTGAAATAAGACTGGATAACGCATCTATAGTATACAAAAGTGAAGCCGGAAGTCACCGACCGCCACCCGATTCTGGGGCCCCACTTTTGTATAGATTTGTATTACAAACGGTAGTTTTTCGCGATTTTTGCCTTGGCTACGTTTCCAACCGGGACAATTTTACAATCACAAAGATAGAAGCATACAAGAAGAATTTTGAGCAAAAAATTTGGAGTATTATGGCTTTATAACGCCGCGAAACGGGATTTACAACTCTGAAGGAGTGGAGAGCCTCAGACTTTGTTTATCAACACGAGCTCGTTTTGCTTACTTTCATACAAAATCAACTCAAAATATACAGGAATTACTGTTACTGGACGAATATTCTCAGGAAATTTGAAGAAATGAAGCAACTACATTGTGAACAAAAGCGTACTGAGGTTTAAATAGTTTTAAAATACCTGGAGGCTACTTTTATAATATTTATATAAATTTATAAGGAACAGTTCTAAATATCAATTTTGTCAAGAGCATTCATTCCTCGGCGCCTTGTCGAGAAGTTTTATATGTTTTAAAGTAGGAAGACAAGTGACAATCAAATATTTTTAATCCAAATTAAGCCTGTTCTAAACGTCGCATTTTGCGTGCGCCGAATGCATTCAAAACAATGGATAATGAGGCATTTCAGCTGATTATCTAATGAGTAATGTTTTGAATGCATTCGGCACATGTAAAATGCGACGTTTAGAAACTAGAACAGGCCTTATAAACAATGACTCAATATAATGTTATTTTAATTCATATAATTATAAAAGTAGCCTCAAGGTATTTTAAAACTAACCTCTGTACGCTTTCGTTCACAATGTAGCTGCTTCATTTCTTCAAATTTCCTGAGAATATTCGTCCAGTAACAGTAATTCTTGTATATTTTGAGTTGCTTTTGTATGAAAGTAGCAAAACGCGGAGCTCGTGTTGACAAACAAAGTCTGAGGCTCTCCACTCCTTCAGAGTTGTAAATCCCGTTTCGCGGCGTTATAAAGCCATAATACTCCAAATTTTTTGCTCAAAATTCTTCTTGCATGTATGCTTCTATCTTTGTGATTGTAAAATTGGCCCGGTCGGAAACGTAGCCAAGGCAAAAAACGCGAAAAACTACCGTCTGTAATACAAATCTATACAAAAGTGGGGCCCCAGAATCGGGTGGTGGCCGGTGACTTCCTGCTTC